AACCTGAGTCAAGAGTGAACCATGGGACAAACCTGAGTCAAGAGTGAACCATGGGACAAACCTGAGTCAAGAGTGAACCATGGGACAAACCTGAGTCAAGAGTGAACCATGGGACAAACCTGAGTCAAGAGTGAACCATGGGACAAACATGAGTCAAGAGTGAACCATGGGACAAACCTGAGTCAAGAGTGAACCATGGGACAAACCTGAGTCAAGAGTGAACCATGGGACAAAACCTGAGACAAGAGTGAACCATGGGACAAACCTGAGACAAGAGTGAACCATGGGACAAACCTGAGTCAAGAGTGAACCATGGGACAAACCTGAGTCAAGAGTGAACCATGGGACAAACCTGAGTCAAGAGTGAACCATGGGACAAACCTGAGACAAGAGTGAACCATGGGACAAACCTGAGACAAGAGTGAACCATGGGACAAACCTGAGTCAAGAGTGAACCATGGGACAAACCTGAGTCAAGAGTGAACCATGGGACAAACCTGAGTCAAGAGTGAACCATGGGACAAACCTGAGTCAAGAGTGAACCATGGGACAAACCTGAGTCAAGAGTGAACCATGGGACAAACCTGAGTCTATCACTGATAGTTACACTTTGTATAACTTCTAAGACTTAGAACAGTGACCAGGACTGTGATCAAGAACATAGAACAGTGACCAGGACTGTGATCAAGAACATAGAACAGTGACCAGGACTGTGATCAAGAACAAAGAACAGTGACCAGGACTGTGATCAAGAACATAGAACAGTGACCAGGACTGTGATCAAGAACAAAGAACAATGACCAGGACTGTGATCAAGAACAAAGAACAGTGACCAGGACTGTGATCAAGAACAAAGAACAGTGACCAGGACTGTGATCAAGAACAAAGAACAGTGACCAGGACTGTGATCAAGAACAAAGAACAGTGACCAGGACTGTGATCAAGAACAAAGAACAGTGACCAGGACTGTGATCAAGAACAAAGAACAGTGACCAGGACTGTGATCAAGAACAAAGAACAGTGACCAGGACTGTGATCAAGAACAAAGAACAGTGACCAGGACTGTGATCAAGAACAAAGAACAGTGACCAGGACTGTGATCAAGAACAAAGAACAGTGACCAGGACTGTGATCAAGAACAAAGAACAATGACCAGGACTGTGATCAAGAACAAAGATCTGTGACCAGGACTGTGATCAAGAACAAAGAACAGTGACCAGGACTGTGATCAAGAACAAAGAACAATGACCAGGACTGTGATCAAGAACAAAGAACAGTGACCAGGACTGTGATCAAGAACAAAGAACAATGACCAGGACTGTGATCAAGAACAAAGAACAGTGACCAGGACTGTGATCAAGAACAAAGAACAGTGACCAGGACTGTGATCAAGAACAAAGAACAGTGACCAGGACTGTGATCAAGAACAAAGAACAGTGACCAGGACTGTGATCAAGAACAAAGAACAGTGACCAGGACTGTGATCAAGAACAAAGAACAATGACCAGGACTGTGATCAAGAACAAAGATCTGTGACCAGGACTGTGATCAAGAACAAAGAACAGTGACCAGAACTGTGATCAAGAACAAAGAACAGTGACCAGGACTGTGATCAAGAACAAAGAACAATGACCAGGACTGTGATCAAAAACAAAGAACAATGACCAGGACTGTGATCAAGAACAAAGAACAGTGACCAGGACTGTGATCAAGAACAAAGAACAATGACCAGGATTGTGATCAAGAACAAAGAACAATGACCAGGACTGTGATCAAGAACAAAGAACAGTGACCAGGACTGTGATCAAGAAAAAGAACAGTGACCAGGACAGAACAGTGACATTAATATAACATATTACAAACCATTTATGTTTTTCATAATCATCACGGCTCAGTGGTAAAACACTCGCCCGGCGCTTTGTGAGCACTTTGGCCTGGGTTCATATCCTGGCCGGGGAGGATTGACTGGGCACCAATCATTATCTGTAGCCTCCTTTGTGGGGAAAGTGACTCATGGGATTTATATTTATTGAGTTTATATTAATTTATATTTTTCGTATATTTATTTATTTCGATAGCAATCTATGAAATTTAAAGTGAGCAGGATGAGTTAAGAATTCCCACAAATAGCTTCCTGACACATTCTGGGGGAATTATGGTTTATATATATATAGTCTATCAATCAAATTATTGATTGGTAGACATTCACTACAATATTAATGCTAGGTTATAGAACTATATTGTATTAGTTAATACTTGGGGAAGCCTTATCTGTATAGATGATGCCCTGTCACCAAGCTGTTCTACCTCCTCGCCCTCACTTCAATACACACAGAAATATCGTGATGCATCAAATGGACTGTGTAAAACCCTGGTCTTATTTTTGGTTTAGCCACCTCTATGTGGTTTTCAATTACTTTAGGTGTCTCATTTGATTGGATCAATTGATCACATTTGTTCAGTGGTCTAGTCACATGTTCTTTGTGACTCATATATATATTATCTGTGGTACAATATACTATTACTGGACATTTTGTCTGTTGAACTGGTTGCTGGATTATGTTTTTTTGGACCCATAATTCGTAGTGGAAATAACTGGGGGTATTTGCTCATAAATTGTGAGCAAGCACTAATGGTATTAGCCTAGGGTAAAATTTTGCAGTCAATAGGCTATAATCCTACCTCCTAGGAGGTTAGCACTTAATAATAATATATAGTATATATAATCATACACACAAATATTTTGAGTGTTAATCCGTGCCCCTGGAGCACCTAAAGGTTAGCTCATCAAAATCACCCCTGGGGGTGTAGACACTAATTAACACCCAAAGGTGCAATGAGTATGGGTAAACAATTATATATACACATCACAACTCGTGCTGGTATAAATCACACTTGAAATACGGCCTAGACAATTAATTAATTGTACTAGGTTGTTCAATGTGGTACAACTAGATTATACAACTATAATAATTGGGACTAGGATAAGCAATAATTAGTTCAACTAGTCAATGTTAATATGGTACTATGTTATCAATAAACACTGGTCAATGTTATAATATATCCTACCATGTAGTGGGTTGGCATTTAGGTAAATTGTGCAGTGAAGACTACTGCAATAAATGTGTTACTCAAAACAAATTATATGCACAATTGAGGTTGCTAGCCTCTTATTAACCTCTAGTATTATTTAGAGGTATTAATTCTGTTATTAGTCACTTCGCGAAATTAAACACCCACAGATTTCGTGGATATAAACTCGGCGAAGGCTTAGCCGTAATTTGACTGGTTTTAATTTAAGCGCTGTCAGCTCACGGATATAACACTCCATGAATTTTGTGGTTAAACTCCTTGAAACCGCTGAGGCTAATGAGCTCTGGCGGGTCACCGACAGCTAGTCTGTGACTCTCAATGTCTATAACATTTTTTGCACTAGTTTAATTATGATCCAGTTTAGCATTTCTGGTTCGTTGTGGATCATTATTCATGATCCGGTTCAGAGGGTCATTAATGTGGAGAAAGTGACTCATGGGATTTATATTTATTTAGTTTATATTAATTTATATAGTAATTTATGTTTTACGTTAATTTATTTATTTCGATAGCAAACCATGATATTTAAAATGGACTGTATGATTTAAGAATTTCCACAAATCGCTTCCTTACACATTCTGGGGGAATTATGGTTTATATTTATAGTCTATCAATCAAATTATTGATTGGTAGATATTCACTACAATATTAATGCTAGGTTATACTACAACTACATTGTATTAGTTAACACATGGGGAAGCCTCATTAGTCTGGATGATGTCTAGACAACCAGATATGAACACAGATGATACACGTCAGTTGATACTCCTTGTGGATCAGACTGACTTTGCCACATGTAATAGTTGTGCTAGGTAGTTGCTAATTGTGCTTCTTCTTCTTCCCCTTCAATTACACCTGTTAAATGGCACTCACAATAATAGCAGTAATCCTAAATATGACAGATAAATCAGACGAAATGTAGTTATTTATGAGATAACATCCAAGTAATATTTACCTTGTTTGTTTTGCTCGCTAGCAACCTAACTGATATTCCTAAATCTATTTACCATTTTCCAACAATAAGCTAGATAGAACTGGAATCGGAAAAACACCACCTTTATTTGTGGACGAAGATTGTGTTGATAATGGGATTGCTTTATTTCCCATAACACTGTTGTTCAAGGGAAAAATTATTGGAGCAAAATTTGCCCCAGCGAGACTGTTAAATTAATAATTGCGACCGCTACTGGTCCTCCTCCCACTAACACCTCGACTGTTTTGTCCAGATGTCAAGAACTAAGACCCAACAAGAACACCCATTTAAAACAGGGTGTATTAAATGTTTCCAAGAAATGAAAAGAGGGCCTACATTTACTCTATTTTAGTACTGATAATTAAGTTGGTTCAAGGGAAATAATTTTATGATGTTTACAGTCCAGACTCTGCTGTATTAAGAATGATTCCCAACAGAATTAGCTTGTGTGCTTAGTAGCGACGTGGCAGAGATATCCCTTTTTTCTTCTGGGAAATTCTACTGTGCCTCATTTTCTATGAGTTAATTTGTTATTACAATACAACAGCAATATTATCCGCCTATTGTATTAAATGTATGTAAATGGTGTCGGTTTTTCCGACATGTGTTCACCCCAGCAGTCATCGGGTACCTGGTTGTTAATCGATTTGGGGAAATGTATTCCGGAGAAAAATTAGGATTAAGGACCTGCGCAAAACTCTTTGCATGCTAGTCGCTGTACAGGAATGTTAGAACTCCTACAAAACTGTTTTGTGTATTAACAGTTGAACAGAGGATTGGTTGCCATGGGGACTACAATATAACACAAACACGTGTTCAGCACACATAAATGACCTCCATTAATTATTTATTAACCAGCACCTCTGTTCTTAGTGAAGATTGATAGAATCAAGGACAAGATGCATGGAATTATTCCCACAATATTCAGGTAATATTAATCACTGGAGACGACAGGCTTGTATCCTCCACTCTTGCATGTATATGACTGTAAGGATGCTAAGGGTAGTTGACCTTGAATCATCTGCTTCAGGGATGCTGGGTCACTCAGGTTAAGATGACCCTCGAAGTAGACGTCATTAATATACTGGATCAGCTGGTTCACCTGGAAATGAAGAGGAGATATCATATAACACAAATTATTGGAGTGAATATACTCATTGAAAGATGTAAGTTAAATATTATTACCAGAACAGGGTGAACATCCTCACCCAGCGAAGCTCTCAAGGCTCGCACCACAGAACAAGACAACTGCTTAAATTAAAGCAATTACTTCAGCAACAAAAACGTTTGCAAAAATTATGTGGCAAAAATGTACAATAGGAAATTAGCAAGGAAAAGGAGGAAGTAATGGTAACCCGGAGGAGAAGAAACAATAAAATGGAAATGGTAGTATTATGAGGGAAGGGAAGATAAGGCAGGAGGAAATGTTAGAGGAACCATTATAGGTGACCAACGTTGTCAGAGTGAGCAGTCAATGGGAGAGTGTCAGCTGGAGAGCTCCAGTAACCATCCAGCAGTGAGAGGATGTATCCCCACTATCAGTTACCCTTCCCCTATCACCCCTATATGACCCTTCCCCCGTCACCCCAATATCACCCTTCCCCCATCACCCTTATGTGACCCTTCCCCCATTCACCCCTATGAGATCCTTCCCTCATCATCCCTATGTGACCCCTTCCCCCATCACCCCTATATGACCCTTCCTCCATCACCACTATGTGACCCTTCCCCCATCACCCCTATATGACCCTTCCCCATCACCACTATGTGACCCTTCCCCCATCACCCCTATATGACCCTTCCCCCATCACCACTATGTGACCATTCCCCCATCACCCCTATATGACCCTCCCTCCATCACCCCTATATGATCTATCCCCCATCACCCCTATATGACCCATCCCCCATCACCACTATGTGACACTTCCTCCATCACCCCTATATGACCCTTCATCATCACCCCTATGTGACCCTTCCTCCATGTATAATGATAAGTAAATGGTAATTTCAGTAGAAATCATTCAAGTAACTAAATATTAGTATATTTCTAATACTACACTATTAGAAAATAATGTCAGCTTAGCTGTTCGACTGAATTAGTTGGAAAAGTTTGGGCAATGACGACGGCACACTTGTTGCAACATGATGTCGAGCAAGCACTTGGTATAAAAGTTATTCTTCTCCTTTACGCTGCAACCAGTCAAGCTAAAAGGCAGATTAAATGTAAAAGTTGTCTACACTATAATTAATATCACTATTTCTGATAGAAAGGTAGGAATCTAGACTTAATTAAAACTAATTTTGTTTCTGATGTTATCGCGTGGCGTAACGAACGAGCAACCTACACATGAAAATGTTATCAAAGTGCACTCTGTAACAAATATCAGTAGGAACGCAGAGGAATTATGCTCGCCGGAACTTGTGTTGAATGGAGATGAAGACCTCCACGAATTCTGGCACCCGCTGTTGCAAGGATGACTTAAATATGAGTCGTTGAGTGGGAGTTCTAAAACACAGTAACTTTGACAAGATGGATGCCACGCTTCCTCTACGTAATGGCGTCCGAGCCAGTGCGACGCTACTCTCCCTCTTCCTTTTCCCGACTTCGCATGCGCGGCTCTCAGTAGGTATCTCGAGCGTAAATGAATTTATGTACTTTGGAGGTAATTTGGAAAGGTAGAGATTGTGACAAGTATTTATGTCACGTTTAAATGTTTCATGTTATAATATAACCTCTCGCAGCATAATTCGGTTTATTAAAGCTGCGTAAATAAATGAGGAATATAAAGTGGAATTATTTTACCTTCTAATAATTTTAATGGAGTTGGTAATTTTAACTAAATAAGCAAGTTCCAGTAAGCAGTAATGTGCTACACAAATAAACTAATTAGTAAGTGATTAGTAAAGAATGTAATAAACTGGACTATATTTAAATCCGACAATATGTGGATTTTATTTTATTTTTTGAGATATATACAAGAGATGTTTCATTCTTGTACAGTCACTAGGACGCATAGCGTTTCGGGCAGGTCCCTGGAATACGACCCCCACGAAGAATCGTTTTTATAACCAAGTACACATTTTACTGTAGAGTTAAACAGAGACTACAGTTAAGGATTTGCGCCCAGTAAATCCTCCCTGGCCAGGACACAACCCATGACGATTTTCCTGTTGCTGCCTGTCGGAACTCGCAGAAGGAAGGATTTGGCAGAATATTGTGCATTATTAATCATGATTATAGTTAATTTTACAAGATAGTAATTTTTAGTAACTACTTATGGTTAATACAAAATGTTGTATAAAAATACAAAGGATATATGAAACTGTTGGTTATTTCCAACAATCACCCCAATGTGACCCTCCATCACCCCTATGTGACCAACCCTCCATCACCCCTATGTGACCAACCCTCCATCACCCCAATGTGACCCTCCATCACCCCTATGTGACCCTCCATCAACCCTATGTGACCCTCCATCAACCCTATATGAACATCCATCACCACTATGTCACCCTCCATCACCCCTATGTGACCATCCATCACACCTATGAGACCCTCCATCATCCCTACATGACCCTCCATCACCCATATGTGACCATCCATCACCCATATGTGACCATCCATCACCACTATGTGACCCTTCATCACCACTATGTGACCCTCAATCACCCCTATGTGACCTCCATCACCCCTATGTGACCATCCATCACCACTATGTGACTCTATCACCCATATGTGACCCTCCATCATCCCTATGTGACCCTCCATCAGTCTTATGTGACCCTCCATCACCCCTATGTGACAATCCATCACCACTATGTGACCCTCCATCACCCCTATGTGACCCTCCATCACCCCTATGTGACCCTCCATCACCCCTATGTGACCCTCCATCACCCCTATGTGACCATCCATCACCCCTATGTGACCATCCATCACCACTATGTGACCATCCATCACCACTATGTGACCATCCATCACCACTATGTGACCCCTCCATCATCCCTGTGACCGTCCATCATCCCTATGTGACCCTCCATCACCCCTATGTGACCCTCCATCACCACTATGTGACAATCCATCACCACTATGTGACCCTCCATCACCCCAATGTGACCATCCATCACCCCTATGTGACCATCCATCACCACTACGTGACCATCCATCACCACTATGTGACACTCCAACACCCCTATGTGACCATTTCCTCCATCACCCCTATGTGACCCTGCATCACCCCTATGTGACCCCTCCATCACCCCTATGTGACACTCCAACACCCCTATGTGACCCTCCATCACCCTTATGTGACCAATCATCACCAATATGTGACCCTCAATCACCCTTATATGACCCTCCATTACCCCTATGTGACCCTCCATCACCACTATGTGACCCTCCCTCCATCGCCAATATGTGAACCGCCCTCTATCACCACTATGTGACTTTCCCTCCATCACAACTATGTGACCCTACCTTCATTACCAATTTGTGACCCTCCCTCCATCACAATTATGTGACCCTCCCTCCATCACCACTATGTGACCCTCCCCCCATCACCACTATGTGACCCTCCCTCCATCACCACTATGTGACCCTCCCCCATCACCACTAAGTGACACCTCCCTCCATCACCACTATGTGACCCTCCCTCCATCAACACTATGTGACCCTCCCCCCATCACAACTATGTGACACTTTCTCCATCACCACTATGTGACCCTCCCATCATCACCACTTTGTGACCCTTCGTCACCACTATGTGACCATCCATCACCCCTATGTGACCATCCATCACCCCTATGTGACCATCCATCACCTTTATGTGTCCATCCATCACCACTATGTGACCCTCCATCATTCCTGTGTGTCTCTCCATCACCCCTATGTGACCCTCCGTCACCACTACGTGACCATCCATCACCACTATGTGAGCATCCATCACCACTATGTGACCATCCATCACCACTATGTGACCATCCATTATAACTATGTGACCTCCGTCACCCCTATGTGACCATCCATCACCACTATGTAACCCTCCATCACCCATATGTGACCCTCCATCATCCCTATGTGACCCCCCATCACTCCTATGTGACTCTCCATCACCCCTATGTGATGATCCATCACCACTATGTGACCCTCCATCACCCATATGTGACCCTCCATCATCCCTATGTGACCCTCCATCACTCCTATGCGACTCTCCATCACCCCTATGTGACCTTCCATCACCACTATGTGACCATCCATCACCACTATGTGACTCTCCATCACCCATATGTGACCCTCCATCATCCCTATGTGACCCTCCATCATCCATATGTGACCCTCGATCACCCCAATATGACCCTTCATCACCACTATGTGACACTCCATCACCCCTATGTGACCTCCAATCCCCTATGTGACCATCCATCACCACTATGTGACCCTCCATCACCCATATGTGACCCACAATCATCCCTATGTGACCCTCCATCCCTCCTATGTGACTCTCCATCACCCCTATGTGATAATCCATCACCACTATGTGACCATCCATCACCACTATGTGACCCTGCATCACTCCTATGTGACCATCCATCACCCCTATGTGACCCTCCATCACCCCTATGTGACTCTCCATCACCCTTATGTGACCAATCGTAACCACTATGTGACCCTCCATCACCCTTATATGACCTTCCATCACCCCTATGTGACCCTCTATCACCACTATGTGACCCTCTATCACCACTATGTGACCCTCCCGTTATCTCCAATATGTGACCCTCCCTCCATCACCACTATGTGACCCCTCCCTCCATCACCACTATATGACCCTCCCTCTATCGTAAATATGTGACCCCTCACTCCATCACTACTATGTGACTTTCCCTCCATCACAACTATGTGATCCTCCCTCCATCACTACTATGTGACCCCTCCCTCCATCACCACTATGTGACTTTCCCTCCATCACCACTTTGTGACCCCTCCCTCCATCACAACTATGTGACCCTCCCTCCATCACTACTATGTGACCCCTCCCCCCATCACCACTATGATACCCCTCCCTCCATCACCACTATGTGACCCTCCCCCATCATAACTATGTGACCCTCTCCCCATCACAACTATGTGACCCTCTCCCCATCACAACTATGTGACCCTCCCTCCATCACCACTATGTTACCCTCTCTTCATTACCACTTTGTGACCCTCCATCCATCTATGTGACCTCCCTTCGTCACAACTATGTGACCCCTCCCGTCATCACTACTTTGTGACCCTTCGTCACCACTATGTGACCCTCCATCACCATTATGTCACCATCACCACTATGTGACCCTCTATCATCCCTAAGTGACCCTCCATCACTCCAATGAGAACATCCATGGTCACTATATGACCCACTATTACCCATATGTGACCATCCATCACCACTATCTGATCCTCCATCACCACTATGTGACTCTCCATCACCCCTATGTGACCCTCCATCACCCCATATGTGACCATCCATCACCACTATGAGATCCTTCATCTCCTGAATGTGACCCTCCATCAACCGTACGTGACCATCCATCAAAACTATGCTACCTTCCATCACCCCTATGTGACCCTCCATCAACCGTATGTGACAATCCATCCCCACTATGTGATCCTCCATCACCCCTATGTGACCATCCATCACCACTATGTGACAGTCCATCACCCCTATGTGACCCTCCATCACCACTATGTGACCCTCCATCATCCCTATGTGACCATCCATCACCCCTATGTGTCCATCAATCACCATGAAGTGACCGTCCATCACCCCCTGTGTGTCTCTCCATCACCCCTATATGACCATCCATCACCACTATGTGACCCTCCATCACCCCTATGTGACCTTCCCTCCACCACCCCTATAAGACTCTCTATCACCCCTATGTGACTCTTCATCACCACTATTTGACCCTCCATCACCCCTATGTGACCTCCATCACCCCTATGTGACCATCCATCACCACTATGTGACCCTCCATCTTCCCAATGTGACCCTCCATCACTCCTATGTGACAATACATCACCACTATGTGACCATCACCCCTATGTGACCCTCCATCACCACTATGTGACCCTCCATCACCCCTATGTGACCATCCATCACCACTATGTGACCCCTCCATCATCCCTATGTGACCCTCTATCATCCATATGTGACCCTCGATCACCCCAATGTGACTCTCCATTACCCCTATGTGGCCATTTCCTCCATCTCCCCTATGTGACCCTGCATCACCCCTATTTGACCCTCCATCACCCTTATGTGACCCTCCATCACCCCTATGTGACCCTCCATCACCCATATGTGACCAATCATCCCTATGTGACCCTCCATCACCTCTATATGACCCTCCATCAGCCCTATGTGACCCTCCATCACCACTATGTGACTCTCCATCACCCCTATATGACCCTCCATCACCCCTATGTGACCCTCCATCACCACTATGTGACCCTCCCTCCATCACCCCTATGTGACCCTCCATCACCACTATGTGACCCCTCCCTCCATCGCCAATATGTGACCCTCCCCACATCACCACTATGTGACCCTCCCTCCATCACCACTATGTGACCATCCCTCTATCGCCAATATGTGACCCTTCCTCCATCACCACTATGTGACTTTACATCCATCACCACTATGTGACCATCCATCACAACTATGTGCCCATCCATCACAACTATGTGACCTTCCCTCCACCACCCCTATATGACCCTCCATCACCCCTATGTGACCCTTCATCACCACTATGTGACCCTCCATCACCCCTATATGACCCTCCATCACCCCTATGTGACCCTCCATCACCACTATGTGACCCTCCCTCCATCACCCCTATGTGACCCTCCATCACCACTATGTGACCCTCCCTCCATCGCCAATATGTGACCCTCCCCACATCACCACTATGTGACCCTCCCTCCATCACCACTATGGGACCATCCCTCTATCGCCAATATGTAACCCTCCCTCCATCACCACTATGTGACTTTACATCCATCACCACTATGTGACCCTCCATCACCCCTATGTGACCTTCCCTCCACCACCCCTATAAGACTCTCTATCACCCCTATGTGACTCTTCATCACCACTATTTGACCCTCCATCACCCCTATGTGACCCTCCATCACCCCTATGTGACCATCCATCACCACTATGTGACCCTCCATCATCACTATGTGACCCTCCATCACTCCTATGTGACCCTCCATCACCACTATGTGACCATCACCCCTATGTGACCCTCCATCACCACTATGTGACCCTCCATCACCCCTATGTGACCATCCATCACCACTATGTGACCCCTCCATCACCCCTATGTGACCCTCCATCATCCATATGTGACCCTCCATCACCCCAATGTGACCCTCCATCACCCCTATGTGACCATTTCCTTCATCACCCCTATGTGACCCTCCATTACCCTATGTGACCCTCCATCACCCTTATGTGACCCTCCATCACCCCTATGTGACCCTCCATCACCCATATGTGACCAATCATCCCTATGTGACCCTCCATCACCCCTATATGACCCTCCATCACCCCTATGTGACCCTCCATCACCACTATGTGACCCTCCATCACCCCTATATGACCCTCCATCACCCCTATGTGACCCTCCATCACCACTATGTGACCCTCCCTCCATCACCCCTATGTGACCCTCCATCACCACTATGTGACCCTCCCTCCATCGCAAATATGTGACCCTCCCTACATCACCACTATGTGACCCTCCCTCCATCACCACTATGTGACCATCCCTCTATCGCCAATATGTGACCCTCCCTGCATCACCACTATGTGACTTTCCATCCATCACCACTATGTGACCATCCATCACAACTATGTGACCATCCATCACAACTATGTGACCTTCCCTCCACCACCCCTATATGACCCTCCATCACCCCTATGTGACCCTTCATCACCACTATGTGACCCTCCATCACCCCTATGTGACCCTCCATCACCCCTATGTGACCCTCCATCACCACTATGTGACCCTCCCTCCATCACCCCTATGTGACCCTCCATCACCACTATGTGACCCTCCCTCCATCGCCAATATGTGACCCTCCCCACATCACCACTATGTGACCCTCCCTCCATCACCACTATGGGACCATCCCTCTATCGCCAATATGTAACCCTCCCTCCATCACCACTATGTGACTTTACATCCATCACCACTATGTGACCATCCATCACAACTATGTGCCCATCCATCACAACTATGTGACCTTCCCTCCACCACCACTATATGACCCTCCATAACCCCTATGTGACCTCCATCACCCCCTATGTGACCATCCATCACCCCTATGTGACCCTCCATCATAGCAATGTGACCCTCCATCACTCCTATGTTACCCTCCATCACCTCTATGTGACAATCCATCACCACTATGTGACCATTACCCCTATGTGACCCTCCATCATCACTATGTGACCCTCCATCACCCCTATGTGACCATCTATCACCCCCTATGTGACCATCCATCACAACTATGTGACCATCCATCACCACTATGTGACCCCTCCATCATCCCTATGTGACCCTCTATCATCCATATGTGACCCTCGATCACCCTTATGTGACCCTCCATCACCCCTATCCCAGCAAACAATTTTAGGTTGCCACAACATATCTGGAAAGTATTTGAAAGTATTGGAAACGTTTGTTTTATCGTATCAGATACGATATTGTGTGTGGACTTAAATAGGTTTCCAAAACTTATAACCAAGACATATGTATCTAACACTAATATGAGATGTTGTGGCAACTTTACACTCCTAACATGAGTCATTCATAATCCATTCATATACCAATATGAATCTCTTATGAAAGGTTTGAGCCAATAATCTGAACAATTTTCACCTCTTTGTGTTTAAAGTTAAATTTCTTGAAATTAAATTATATTTTATATTATATTATTTTTATTATATTTTATATTATATTATTATTTTCAATTTAAATATTAAAACCAATTTAAGGGTAATAAAAATCTAATAATTTATATTTCTTTTATTATTTACTAACAATTATAATTATTTACTAACGGAGAGAGGGGAGGCTGTACGGCGGAGAGTGGCGGCTGTGGCGGACAGTGGCGGCGGTGGCGGATAGTGGCGGCGGGCGGACAGTGGCGGCGGCGGGCGGACAGTGGCGGCGGGCGGACAGTAGTGGCGGTGGCGGATAGTGGCGGCGGGCGGACAGTGGCGGCGGCGGGCGGACAGTGGCGGCGGGCGGACAGTGGCGGCGGGCGGACAGTGGCGTCGGGCGGACAGTGGCGGCGGTGGCGGATAGTGGCGGCGGGCGGACAGTGGCGTCGGGCGGACAGTGGCGGCGGTGGCGGATAGTGGCGGCGGGCGGACAGGGCGGCGGCGGGGGCAGTGGCGGCGGGCGGACAGTGGCGGCGGGCGGACAGTGGCGGCGGGCGGACAGTGGCGGCGGTGGCGGACAGTGGCGGCGGGCGGACAGTGGCGGCGGGCGGACAGTGGCGGCGGGCGGACAGTGGCGGCTGTGGCGGATAGTGGCGGCTGTGGCGGATAGTGGCGGCGGGCGGACCGTGGCGGCTTTGGCGGCGGTGGGGGACAGTGGCGGCGGGCGGACAGTG